TTTAGGAGGGTGCCATTGTTGTATCACCTCAATTTTATCTAGATTCACTGCCAAGCCTTGTGCCGAAATAATGTGGCCCAAGTAATCAATTGAAGGCTGCCCAAACAAACACTTAGATTGTTTTGCCACTAATTAATGTTGCCGTAGTAATTGTAAGATAGTCTCCAAATGCTCCAAATGTGCGTTCCAAGAAGGCTTGTAGACCAAGATATTGTCAAAAAATACGAGAACAAAGCGACGCAAATGTGGACTGAAAATCTCATTCATTGTTGCCTGGAAGGTTGAAGGAGCATTAGTTAATCCAAACGGCATTACTAAGAACTCATAGTGACCATCATGAGTTCGAAAGGCTGTTTTAGACACATCCTCCGGCATCACACGAATCTGGTGGTAACCTGAGAGTAGATCAAGCTTAGAAAAATAATGAGCCCCATGCAATTCGTCAAATAATTCATCAATTGTTGGGATTGGGAACCGATCCTTTACTGTGATTGCATTTAGTGCTCGATAGTCAACACAAAAATGCCAAGTACAATCTTTCTTTCGAACCAGCAACACCGGTGATGATAATGGGCTGGTGCTAGCCCGTATCACTCCTTCTTTAAGCATCTCTGAAACCATTTGCTCCATGACCTATTTCTAAAAATAAGGATACCTATAGGGTTTAACATTCACCGGTTGTGCCCCAAAGTTGAGATGTATAGCATGATCCTGGATACGAGAAGGTGGTAATCCCGATGGCTTATGAAATACATCAGCATATAGTTCTAACAAAGTTGCTAGTTCCACAGTACGCTGCTCTGTAACAGAGTTATATCTAGTAACTATCTCAAGACAAAAATAGGATGCAATGGCTTCCGTAGCTACCATTCGTCTTAAGCTATGCAGTTGTACATGTTGCACATCAGTCGGAGATACACCCTACCATACTACTTGGTTTCCTCCTAAATTGAATTCCAAAGTTCTCGTCGCATAGTTAGGGTGTACTAAACTTAGGTATCCCAACCATGAAACCCCGAGAACAAGGTCGGCGCCATGTAGTGACAAAATATAGAGGTCTTCAATGAGCGTAGTTCCCTGAATCAACACCGTGACACCTCTGGCCACTCCGTCACAACGGAGGCGCTGTCCACTCCCCACAACCATAGGGAAGTTGGAGATGGTTTCAATGGACAATTGCAAGAAGCGTGCAACTCGTTCCTGAATGAAATTATGGGTACTTCCTCCATCCACCAAGATCTGAATCGAAGTCCCATTCAATTGCCCCATAAATCGAAGTGTAGACGGTGAACTTCCTCCGGCTAGTGCATTGTAGGAAATAACGAAGTCTTCATGTAACTCTAAGCACTGCAAATCCTCAGCAAAAATATCATCTGTGACAAAAGGGTCCGGCAGTAGAGGGTCCATAGATGTCCCATCTGGAAGGAGTAGAAGATGGGGTGGGGTTTTACATTTATGGCCTACAATATACTTCTCCTCACAGTAATAACAAAGACCATGCTCTCGATGGCTTTGGATCTCAGGGTGTCTTAAACGCTTGAGTGGTGGCCTATTTTGTGTTGGGGTCGATAATGAAGCAGGAGCAATGGACTTAGAAGATGGATCGTGAAATGTTTTAGTGCTAGGGTTTGGAAGCAGGGGTCGAATTCTATTAGCCAAGGCGGGTCGGACCTGCCCCTTTTCCGCTTGGATCCTCTTCTCATGTATATAGGCTAAATCAAGAGCTTCTTCAAAACGTTTAGGTCCATGAGCAAGTACTGAACCCTTAATATCCTCTCTTAGTCCAGAGATGAACAGACGAACCATCAGCCCCTCCGAGATATCATTGGTCTGGTTTGCCATAGCCTCAAAACGTCCCTGGAACTCCGATACCGTGGTCGTCTGACGGAGCTTCGCCAATCTTCCCTCTGCTGATTCAAGCCCTTTTGGTTGAAAACAAATCTTCACTTTTCAATGAAATGGTCCCATCCGACTAGTTGTTTATTACGAAACAACCATCGGTACCAATCCAAGGCTTCTCCATCAAGGTAAAAAGACGCTAAGGTCATTCTGTAAGCCGCCGCGATGCCGTAGAAATTAAAATAACGTTCAGCCTGAAATAGCCATGCTTCTGGGTTTTCACCACCAAAACGACCCAATTCCACCGAAGCTGGTTTATGACGAAGGGTTGGTGCTGTTGGAGCATCCATGAAAGAATCTCGTTGAGGATCACCCATCAGAACTATTTTCCCCACCATCTCTTGGAAGAAGCCTCGCATGTCAGCGAGATCCTTGGCGAATGAATCCTTTACTTCTTTCATTGATTCTGCAATTAGAGCCTTGAGTTGTTGGTCCTCCATTAAAGACCTCTGGATGAAAGCACCAATGTAACAAAAAGATTACTAATGAACAATAACAATAGTTCTCAAAGACACCTTAGTATTGATAAACTGAACCAACTACAACTTCTGTAAACAACAACAATACTTGATAAACTATTTTTAAGGCAATTTGAAATACAAGAAGAAATAACTAGTGATAGATAGATAAAATAAATGGGATGAGAGGATAGAATGAAGAGGGATATGAGAAACTAGAGAAATAGAGATGAGATAACAGAAAGACCCATCATGATTTTGCTTGCCCCATTATGCCCAGTACTTGTTCTGTATATACATCTTGTTGTAGCAAACTCTATCATTTGTCACGTCTCTCCCACTCTTCCAAACGTAATTGCCAAGTCTTTTAGGAGGAATTACTCTTCTAGAGCTCTTACGTGGCATATACATGTGATTATTCTCCGTGGCAGCCGCCATGTCATCCAGGTCAGCAACTTGACTCCTGTTGTTCACAACAGAGTCTATTTATTTCTAGATAAGTAACTGTCATTTCCCCTGGGATCTTTTAGATTTCGCTTAAAAAAATGCTTATACGAAACGAGTCTGCTTCTAGAGTTATATTTTGAATCCCATTCTCTTCACAAAACATTAAAGTTTCTAAGTTAGTTTTATTTTCTCCTTCATATCTGCTGCATTTTCAATAGATTCTGTTTGAGCATAGATTAAATTTTCATCCCTATTTCTCAAACAAAATCCATATGTACTCATCATTGGGTTTCTTCTGCAAGCCTCATTTGTAATACATGATGATTTTTTCCTCAAGATGTCTCCAAGTTAGTGAGTGATAAATACAGTTTGAGTTTGTACTTAATGAGCACCTCCACCATGGCTGGCCAGTCAATTGGAAATCTTTTAATCCATTGATACAATATCAAAATTTATTCCCTACCATGAAGTTAAAATTGATGTCTCCTCCATATCTTCTAGCATTCCTTCTTTTCCATAGGGACTACATTATCAAAAAAAGGTAATGTTCTATATAAAGTCATTAGTTTTGGTGGACCTATGAGCCTTTATAAATGTATTTTTACGTGTTGTAGATGCATGTTGTCAACGTTTATACCTGCAAAAATAGAAAAATTCTTCCACAACTTGTTGGCTATGGGAGCTATTAGTAAAAATTGACTCATAGTTTCTTCAGCATAAGTGTCACAACAGTGGCATCTAGAGACTGTTGTTATCATCATTCTCTTCAGGTTGTCATGATCACATGTCTAGGCTCTTCCCTTCTTCAACTTGTTCCTAGGTTGATTTTACTGAAAAGATTTCTTTAGTATTGGACATCTACCAAGTTTTATCATTATTTTTTCTTTCTTTAAGTGGTTTGATTGTATCCATTATATTATCTACCATATCCTTTGACAATTTACTCCTTGGTTTAGGAATATCACATGTTCTTTGGCTTATGAAATCCTTTACCTCTATTTCCTCTTCCTCTACTTGTTGTAATAAAGTTCTCCTTGTTTTGTGTTATTTTCCTTCTAGGATCTGCCACCAAATGTGATATTCAACTTTTTCCCTTAGCATAAACATTTTTCTCCAAAAGCGAGAAGCTTCGCTGCCTTATACTAGGATAGGATATAACTTCTTATAATATATATTCCACATTTAGGTACTCCACAAGGATGATGTGCTCACTCTAAAAACACATCAAAGTTTTGAAACCAGAGCTTTTGATATATCATGTATAGATGTGAAGTTCAATCCCCCTTCCACCTTGGGAAGTAGAGGTGGACATAAATACCGGAAAATCAAAAAATCGAACCCAACCAAACTAATTCGATTCTTCATTTTAAGTTCTTTGGTTTTTCAGCTCGGTGTCAGTGTCTTTTTTTTCAAAAGGTTAATTTTTCATTTCGGTGTTTGGTGTAAGTGTTTCAGAATTTTGGTGCACCAAAGAACCGAACTTTTTTTAAAAAGAAAAATTTCAAAAAATATTATATATATATATCTATATTACTTTAAAAGCATCAACTCCTAACCTTAATGTTAAAATACTAAAATACCCCTATCCCACATTACAGCCCCCACGCTATATACATACACCCAGTCGGAAACGCCAACAATTAAACCTGCTACACTTTCGACATCCCTCTTCGCCTCAAAAAACGACCATTGGTAAGCGACACCACTTCTGCCGCCTCCTCAATGAAACAACACCTCCGTCCAACAATAACAAACAGTCGCACCCTACCACTTTCCCCTATTTCTATGTCTGCCACTGAGATTCTTTCCCCCCATCAAACACACCACAAATACAGTTTAAGCACTGGCACTCAGAAAAAACTCAAACACATCATCAAGGCATCTGCTCTGCCTTTCAAACAGCACAACTTAACATCTGTTGTGCGATTTCATTAACACATTGTATGTTCTTCCCTTCTGAATGAAATTCCGTTATTTTTGGAAAAAATTACAGTCTAAAATAAGGCAATATGAAACACATTCATATGGAATCCGTCACTTCGTTTCATCCCCTGGCAGCAACAACAACAGTCACATACCTACAGGGACAATTTTGTTTTTTCATTCAACTGGTTACATACAATTTCGTAGCCATTCAGAAATAACATTGTTGCACTCATGTCCTCAGGTACATGCAGTCATCAAAATTCAACCAACATGGCGACTGAATCAGAACTAGCAAAACAGTCTGTACCGATAAACAAGATACCAAAAAACTCTATTGATTCTGTGATTAGAGTCTTAGTTATTCGAAGAGGTTCAATAACACCTTATAAGAATTCAAGGAATGAAGGAACTTACAGAACAATCATATTAGTTGACGAAGAGGTAACAACATTGACACTTTTACTTCTTTTATCGCACTGTTACTATTTGTTCTACTTATGCCACACCTGCTTAATAATAGGGCACAAAGATTCAAACAACGCTATTTAATAAGCATATCGAAACATGGAAGGATTTTTTGAAGCCAAATAAGAGTTACTACATTGCTAAATGACGCTATGATCGTGTCAACCCCAAGTACTCTTCTGTGCATAAAGAAGTTGAATTGGCCTTTACAGACAACACTGTCATAAAGGAGACCATCCATGAGGTTTCAACACAGAAATTTTCTGATGGCTTTTTATCATTAGACGCTGCTGATAACTTACATAATGGTTCTATTCTAGGTAACTATCCAAACGTCAAAGTTGTTATTTTCATGCTCCATTACGTAAGTGCTATCGCTAATTTACACGAGAAATTTCCAAACTTGATTTGCATCTTAGTTTCGGTGAATCCCATCATTCAAAATGCAACTTCGAAGAGACGAGATATAGTTGTTACAAAGGAGTTGTAAGTTTTGCTGATTCATAATGTAACATCTATATAAATATATGACGGTGCCCTGACTTTTTACTTCTAACTGATACTGTAGGATGGAGCCTACAACTGTAACTCTTTGGGGAGATTTTGCTGAAAATGACGGTGCATTCCTTGATAAGCTTAAAGATGATAAACCTATACTCGGCTTATGTGACGTTAGAGTTTCAATCTATAAAGGTATCCAACCATCTATTGTAGCCGCTCAATGACTATAAACTGAGTATAGCTCCTGTTTGTAAACATTAACATGTCTTTCTCACACTAGGCCGATTTGGGATCTCCACTATTCCTGTGAGCAGCGTCTTAATCAATCCAATTTTCCAAAAAGCAATCGACCTTCGAGCCTGGTACGTTACCTTATTCACAAACGTGTTCAGCACGGTTACTTTAACCCAACTGCCAAAACATATCATCAAACTACACTTCACTATTGTAGTCAAGTGAAATCAAACGTTGCTCTAACACGACATAATCCCTCTATTATCATTGTTCTGCAGTTACATATACCCAAATACCTGAAAAACATATGCACTGAACACACCTCACTCTTAATGGCTCGCACCACTAACTAACCTTATTGTATATACAGGCACGAAATCATAGAGGCTCACAACAAAGATATTATAGTAGCACCAACTAAGGCAATGAGAAGAGCTATAGAAGTTCCGTTGGACCATATTCTTGATGGGTTGTTGGCTGAATCGGAGGTACATACTAACCAATAATCCACCCCTCCATAAATAAAATTCAGGTGTATGTTTAACATATATTCACAAATATGGTATATTGGTGCTTTGCAAGATTCTATGTACAAGTTCAAAGCAACGATTGTAGACATACTCAATAAAGATGAGCCATGGTATTTTTCATGCAAAACATGCCGCAAGAAAGTCAGAGTTATAAAAGAGGCTGCAGCTTGTATTAATTGCAACATTGATAATGTATAATATGCAATGAGGTTAGACTTTGTTAAAACTCCATTACACAGCTACTCCTTATAAAACACAAACTTTTCATATTAAATTCTTACCCCTATGTTGAAGATACTGCTTACGACTTGAAGTGTGTGGTGGAGAAAAACCTGCTCGAGTCGTACTTTTTGAAGCGGCTAATAATTTACTAGGCTGGAAGGTGCAAGAGTACATACAAACAACCTCAATAAAGGTATGAAATTTATTGATAGAGTTCACTGAATTCGCGTCGTATTTATATAGTATCATGTGTACCTTACTGGCAACCTTCATACTAACATATTCAATTGTTTATATCTTATAAAGAAGGAAGAATGTCACTACTACCGCAAATTGGTGTTGAGTAAAGACAAACAATTCAACTTCCTTGTCAGAATTGATTTGACAGATGCAAACCCCCGTAGGAGCTTAATTGCCGAAGAAATAAATCAACTAGAAGATGAAGCACCAATTATCCTGGAAGAAGAAGTTAGATCAGTGAGGAAGTACAGGAAGAGGGCTAAGAAAACCACAAATGCAGAGGCCCAAATCAACCAAAAGAAACCCAAAGCCGCAAAAGATTAGACGTGTTTCTAAATTCTGTAACTAAACAATGTGTCGCTTATACCGTATAACCAATGTCTGTATCTTATTATCTATTTATGTGTGAAATTCATATGTGTTATTTGTATATATAGCCTCTGCTCCATATTACCTTCTTCCATAGACAACCATTTTCCAATGGCTACCATAGACTCCCCCAACCAAACTATGGTTATCCACCTGAGGATGCTTACAAATATATTATGTTTCATATGTACAACAATTACTTCCTAGGAAGATTGAATACTATTAAATTTGCATACCATTGCAGAAAAAAGTAACTTCATGCCAGTATACTTATAAATAAATAATAAACACTGTTATATTTCATTAATCTAAAGATGGTGCAGTTTACTTTGAATTTTTTTTATAGATTTAAGGAAAAAGTAGAGTCGATATTTTTAATAATACATTCAAATTTGATCTATGAATTTAAAGTTTAATTAATTAGCACAAATACCAATTCACCAGACACCACATTTATTATTAATCTTCATAATACCAAAGAAGGAAAAGTTGTTTGAATAATGTTTGGTGTCTTTTACGACATATCCTAACTTTACATTTAGATTAGGGTAAAATTTCAACAACATTATGTTTTTATATAAATCAAAACACTATCTACGAGACTATATGTATTTTTGTAACTAAAAAATAATTCAAATTAGTTATTTTTAAATTAAAATATTATTACAATTGAAAATATATTTGACGCGCACATGTACGTTAATAGTGAATAATAGTAATAACTTCCTTATTAATGGTAGTAATAACTTACGATAAATATTTTAGAAATTGATTTTATGTCTAATTTTAGTTCACCTTCGCTTACTTACTATATATAATATAAAATTTAAAACTTCATTTGATGTCCAACTTCAACTCATCATTGCTTTAATGATTCTCATTTATTAAAAAGTGACTATGATATTTAAAATGAACTTATTTCCTGATTAGTTAAATCTACTTATTTTATGTATATAAAAGCTTTTGGAGAGTCAATTTAATAATAAATAACTAAGTTTAATAAAATTACCAACAAAATTACTAAAGATGCGTCACCTTAATAGCTATTATCTCAAAGTTTATTTGGAAATAAGCAATTAGAATAGTCAATAGTAAAAATAGTATATTATACAATCCTGCTTAACCAAAACATTAATGTTACTAGGACAGCCAACACGACCAACCAACGCATTGGCCAACAGTCGCGCCTACTCAAAACCATCGCAACTTTCCAGTAGTGTTGCGTCGCAGTCCAAAAGTTCACTACTGAATCGTTCCCACCACTTCGACAAGCCCCTCTTGAAAACACTATGGCATTCCTCCATCTGACAATAACAACTCGCTAAACTGTGCGCCTTCTGCAAGAAATTCATGATCCTCCAGTTATATTGTAGTCCTGACATTCCTTTCGTCCATCTCTTCAAAATAATTATACATTGTCACTCAAAGACACATTCAGTTACACAAACCGTCAGCAGGATCTATTTGTTCAATCCCCAGTTATGCTGTCATATTAAATAAAATCCGCAAGACTACAAACTTTACACAACAACATCACGCACGGCGAATTACAAATTGTAAGTTTTCCTTTATTATCATAACACATTCATATCAGGTACATTATCCCCCACTGTGAACGGCATCCAGTAATGATATATGGATTATACTACTCATAAAAATGAAAACTATACAAAACCATGGTAGCAGAAAAATAGTGGCTTCATCTTCAGCATCTTACGTAGAGACTACCCTGTTATATATAGATAATAGCATAAGTACACAATTTATAAGCACTCCCCCAATTCTGCTTTCAACTAATGTATTTTTACAGTCAACAAATTTCAAACAGGAAACCATTCTCTCAAAGGCAGAGCAATTAAAGATGGAAGTGCAACAGAATAAGCAGCCCAAAACAAGAGGTTTGTTCCCGAAAATGTATCTTTAACATCAAAATAAATCTTACAAACCAAGTAAATATACTGCAATTCTAACATCATATCATCACATCACATTTTCAACAGCGGTCAAGCGCAAAATACTCACGGATGTAGAAAGGGCCTTGCGACGAGTTCAAAAATTCGTGGCATCAACTAATCAAATACAAGATGAGCACGCTCATGAGCCACATGTGAAGAAGCGGAAAAAATCAGTTAAACGTATAGCTATATCAGAGGTGAATGATGATGGAGGTATATAAACTCAGATACTATACACTAAGAGCAACGTAACATTTACTGTTATCACCATAAATACAAATCATTCATTAATACTATTTTGTTGGGCAGTATAGCAGTAATAAATGGCAACTTGACAACAACATCAAGTCATAAACTTGAAGAAGAAATAGATTGCACCTACTGCAATGCTCGGAGGTTTCAATATGAACCCCCGACATTCTGTTGCGGAGGTGGCTATATCAGCTTAGCACCTAATGAAGTGGCCGATGACTTTTATGAATTATTTGTGTCTGACTTAGAAGATGCCAAGTTATTCAGGAAAAATATACGCGCGTATAATAGCATCTTTGCGTTTACATCATTTGGAGTTAAGCTCGATATGGAATTGGCATCTTCCAGGAAAGGAGTTTACAGTTCAAGGCACAAGGACAGATATATCATGATCTACCATCATTAATCCCAAACAATGATAGACCACGGTACTTTCAACTATACTTCTATGATACCGATCAAGAATTAGCCAATAGAATATCGGTACTGGAAGATGCAAACTTATCAGAGGAGGTCATGATCAAAATAAGAAACATAATGGAGAGGAATCCATATGCAAAATTCTTCTCACAGCTTAAAGAACATACAAGCTTTCAAAATATGGAAATACGCATAGTTGCAAAAACATCATTAGACCAAAGGGTTTATAACAAACCATCAGTGGATCAGGTGGCAGCTATTTGGGTAGACGGTAACAATCCAAATATACCGTTTGAATGAGATATTGCAGTACATGAACACTCAGGTTATAAACATCGAGTCAAACATTATTATGGATGTTATGATCCGCTTCAATATCCTCTAATACTTCCTAAAGGAGAAGGAGGTTTGCATCAAGGAATACAAAAGTGTCGCAATCCAATAAAAAACAGTCAAAGAGTGGCGTTACCAAGTGACCAGATAGGTAGATCATCATTCACAAATGCCGCAGAGATGTTTGCCCATGAAGAACAAGGTAAGCACTTTCACATATAGCCAACAAAAATATACATCCAATTGCCTAACATCTTACACCTTGTAAATAATAAAATTCAAATGCTATAAAGATAATATGGAAAACTTACTTATTCCAATTGACCAGAAAAAAACACGCACTATATGATACTTTACTTTATGGAATAGAAAAAAAACTGGCTCGCCTAAAAGTCACCGTTGCATTATGCAGTTATGTCCGTGAATTTACCACTTTTAGTAATCCATAACTTATAATTTTAAATACATGTAGGTGTACGACGCGAAACAAAAGGTTCGATTTCCTGCAGGGAGTATTACTGTTATAAACTACAAGTCCGAACAAGTGACAAGTCCATATTATTACTGTGCGGGAGATTGTTGCAGCAGTTTGTTGTGGACATATACATCAAAATGGAAACAACAAGACTTGAATATTATAGATTAGAGCAATCAAATTATCGAAGGGAGATACTCAAAGGTATTTTTGATAGTGTCACGGCAGGCGAGAGTAGAGGGGACAAGGTAGGACAAAGGGTATTACTGCCAGGATCGTTCATTGGAGGCCCCAGTGATATGCGACGACGCTATATGGATGCTATGGCGTTGGTTCAAAAGTTTGGAAGACCAGACCTATTCAACAAGCCTTGCTTCCAGGTCAACTACCTCAAGACAGGCCAGATTTGGTTACCAGAGTGTTTCGAGCAAAAATGCAAGACTTGAAAGACCAAATCTTCAAAAAAGAAATATTGGGACCGATTGCAGCACATGTTTTTGTGGTAGAATTTCAGAAGAGAGGCCTACCACATATACATCTGCTTCTAATATTTAAAGAAGGTAATAAGATACGATCAACAGACGAGTATGATAGATACATTTCTGCCGAAATCCCGGATAGTGACACACGTCCAAAATTAAGTGCATTAGTTGTAAGACAAATGATACATGGACCTAGCGGCGAAAAACGAAAAACAAGCCCGTGTATGAAGGATGGACAATGTAAATTTCACTACCCACGAGCATTCAACAACAAAACAATACAAGGAAAGGATGGATATCCAATTTACAAAAGAAGAAATGATGGGAAAACAAGTGAGGTCCGGGGAATGAAGATGAATAACCAATGGGTTGTACCATATAATCCATATTTGTTGATGAGATATAATTGTCACATTAATGTTGAGGTCTGCTCAGGAGTTAAAGCAATTAAGTATCTTTACAAATATATATATAAAGGGCACGACAAATGTGCAGTACACATTGAATCAAACGATGGGGAAAAAGTCATTGACGAAATCAAAAGCTTCCAAGATGCACGTTGGGTGTCTCCACCAGAAGCAATGTGACGAATCTATGAGTTTAACCTAACTGAAATGCAACCGGCAGTTATAAACCTACAGTTACATCTACCGGGCAAACAAACAGGTACTTTACAAATTTTACTCATACATTATTGATAGCAACCATGACAACACAAAATAACCCGATTACTTTGTAATATACTTACAAAATGATATGTAGTGTGCTACTGGAAGAGGCAAAATCTACAAACTATTGTGGAATCTGATTTTGTTAACAAAACTATGCTTACCGAGTATTTCAAGATATGCTCTATAGACGTTGAGGCTCGTAAATATCTCTACAGAGAATTTCCAGAGTATTATGTTTGGAACTCCCAATCCAAAATATGGACAAAAAGAAAATCCCGCACAGTCATTGGTCGCATAAATATTGGTAAGACACACGTACTTTCTATGTCGATTAAATACAAAAACTTCACATAATAAACATAGATGC